CTTAACTTTGCAACCCCACTCTCAATCTTACATCCCAATTCATCTCTTTTTTTGATTCCTCCGCGAGTCTTCGGGTGTGTGTGCTTTGTTCAACAGCTGGGGCAGACTTGTACAAAGCTTGATCCCAAGGCTTTGAACTGTGTGTTTTTGGGCCATTCTCACTCTCAAAAAGGTTATAGGTGTTACCATCCTCCCAGTTGTCGGCGGTTTATATCCATGGATGTTTCTTTCTTTGAGCATTCACCATACTATAGTGGTCCAGTTGGTTCTCAAAGTGAATGGTTCCCATTAAATATAATTGATGACCACCTTCTTCCGTTTTTGACTCCTCTACCGTTACCTTTTTTGTCTTCTATGATTCCTCCTCATGATACCCCTCCAGCAGGGGGAATTCTTCCTTTTCCACAGGTTTATAGTCGGAGACAACAGGTACAAGCTTCTACTCCCACGATCAACTGCCATATTCCTTCGGCACCAGCTCCCGCCTTCTCAAGTTACGCTTGATGATCACCCCATTGCTCTTCGAAAGGGTAAACGTTCTTGTACATACCCTATTTCTAATTTTGTTTCTGATTGTGCTCTCTCATCCTCCTATCGGAGTTTTCTTGTTTCTATTGCCTCGGTTCCTCTTCCTTCTAGTGTTGCCTTATTTCTAAAGCTATTGTTTCACTTGATGATCGCTCCATTGCTCTTCGAAAGGGTAAACATTCTTGTACATACCCTATTTCTAATTTTGTTTCTGATTGTGTTCTGTCACCCTCCTATCGAAGTTTTCTTGTTTCTGTTGCCTCGGTTCCTCTTCCTTTTAGTGTTGCAGATGCGCTAGCACAACCTCAATGGCGTGATGCTATGACAGAAGAACTACAAGCACTTGAGAAAAATCAGACTTGGGACATGGTTCTGCTTCCTATTGGGCGAAAGGCTGTGGGTTGTCATTGGGTGTTTACAGTTAAGCATAATCCAGATGGGTCGTTACAAGGCCCGGTTGGTTGCTAAGGGTTTATGCTCAGACTTATGGCATAGATTATCAGGAGACTTTTGCCCCTGTTGCCAAGATGAATACCATCCATGTATTATTTTCCGTTGCTGCTATTCGATCTTGGCCTCTTCTTCAATTAGATGTCAAGAATGCATTTCTCAATGGTGATTTGCAGGAGGAGCTGTATATGGTTTCTCCTTCGGGCTTTCGTTCTCTAGCTCATTCTAGTATGGTATGTCATCTTCATCGTTCTCTGTATAGCCTCAAGCAATCTCCTCGAGCTTGGTCTGATCACTTTGGCACTACCATGCTCAAGTTTGGTTTCCATCATAGTGCAGCTGATCAAAACTTATTTTTACGTCATTCAGGCAGTAAGACAATTGCTCTCATTATATATGTCGATGATATTGTTCTTACCGGAGATGATACTACCGGAATTGCTAAGATTAAGAGCTATCTTGGCCATCAGTTTGAGATTAAGGATCTTGGTCCCCTGCAGTATTCCTTGGGCATTGAGGTGTCTCGCTTCAAGGCTGGCATTTTCATCTCTTAATGCAAGTATGTTCTTGACTTGCTTTGATCAGCTTGGCACTCGTCCTGATACTCCGATTGAGCAAAATCATCAGTTGGCTGATTCTGAGGGGGAGTTGTTATAAGATGTTGGTCGCTATCAAAAACTTGTGGGGAAGCTCATCTATTTATCCATGACTCGACCTGACATTGCTTATGCCGTGAGTGTCGTGAGTCAATTCATGCACTCTCCTCGTACCCCTCACCTTGATGCAACTATTCGGATCCTTCGCTACTTAAAAGGGTGTCCGAGCCATGGTATGTTTTTTGCCAATCATGGTCACTTACATGTTGAGTCTTGGACAAACACTGATTATGCAGGATCAGATAGGAGGTCAACTTCGGGTTATTGTACAGATGTTGTTGAGGCTTGGACAGATTCAGATAGGAGGACAACTTCGGGTTATTGTACCACTATTGGTGGTAATTTGGTTATTTGGTGCAGTAAGAAGCAAGATGTTGTCTCTCGATCTAGTGCAGAGGCAAAGTATAGGGCTATAACTCTTGGGGTATGTGAGTTGCTATGGCTGAAAACCTTAATGATAGACTTGTGCCTTCCAGTGTCGCTACCATTCTCACTATACTGCGACAAGAAGTCTACCATTAGCATGGCAGCAAATCCCGTTCAGCAAGGTGGACCATCACTTCATTCGAGAGAAGATCACCTCTGGTCAAATTTGCACTCCATTTGTCACAAGCTCTCAACAGCTTGCAAACATTTTTACAAAAGGCGTCAACAAGATTGTGTTTGACAATGCATTGTCCAAGTTCGGCGTTTCAGATATCCACGCACCAACTCAAGGGGAAGTGTTAGCATATATGATAGTCACGATTTATGGAATGACTTACCATATTAGTAGAGATTTGATTATGCATATGTTAGTATATATGATAGCTATGATTTATGGAATGACTTACCATATTAGCAGAGATTTGAATATGCTTTAGAATATGCTGTGATTGGATTTAGATTTGATTTAGTTTTATTTATTGTAATATGAGCATGTGCTCTTTTTATCTATAAATACTAGAGTTATGAATGAGTGATTCATCTCATTCAAACCTTTACACAATTCTCTCATTTTTCTTCTATATTGTATTTTTACTATAATATTAGAAAAACTTTCAGAAGCAATATACTTATTATTGCAAGCGCTTATACACGCCAAGTAGGAGTAGATGAACACATTAAAGCATGATTTTGGGAATATATGGATAAATTAATTCAAGGGATACACAAAGGAGAAAATTAGTCAAGGGAAGGGACTTTACCAGAATGTAGGAAAAGAATGTGGAGGGTATGAGATGCTTCATGGTGGACATACATTTGGAGATAGACATGACATTGGAGAAGTTATCTTAGACATTGTAGTGGCATATAATGTTACAATTGAATATTTTTTTTAAATTAATATTTGATAACTTTTAAAAGTGGATCAAATAGGAGTCAAATTGACTTATTTTTAACCAGAAGTAGATTAATTATTACCAGCAAAGATTGTAATGTTATTACAAGAAAACATCGCAACGTATGCTACTAGTTTTAGATGTATATACCATATATTAAAGGAAAAATAAAATTAAAAATCCAAAAACTATAAAGTGGATTTTTTTTTTTTTTTTTTTTTTTTTTATAAGTAAAAATATAAAGTGGAATTTAAGAGAAAAAAGGTAGAATTATTTAAGAAAAGTATGCTAAAAGAAGATACAAGCTTAATGTGGAATAGGAGGATTAAATGTATTAAAAATAGTATCAAAATATGTCCTCTGAGAATCAAAAGGAAAAGGACCACTATTTAAGGAAACTTGATTCTGGAATGAACATGTCCAAAACATGGCAAAACTAGAACGGAAATGTTATAAACTTTGGCAAAAAATAGAAACAGAAAAAGCTTTGAAAAATATAAAAGAGTGAAGTTAAAAAGGCACTGAAAGATGTGCTTTATATTCTCAATTGGGCACAAAATATAAGAAGAATATATATGAACTTGCTAAAAACTAAGAGAGAGCAAACTCTTAAGACCAAGTAAGTGACATTATGCTTACATCAAGGTTCAGCAGCATTAAGCCCGTGTCTCTTTGTCTTAGTTATGGATGAACTGACAAGACACGTTCAGAATGATTCCATGGTATATGACTTAGTCGTATGTTATTTGCTTACGATATTGTTTTAATTGATGAAACTAGAAAATAAGTAATTTGAGAGGTTAGGGACCCTATTAGGTCCCCTTTGTTTGTTTGGGATGCGCTCCCCGTTTGAGCGCTTTTTATACATAAGTGCCAAATTGGAAGTTTGAAAGTTAGTTCTAGAATTAAATATAAGTAGGAATAAAACTGAACATATGGCTTGTAACTTGAGTAAATCTAGAAATACAAATAGAAATGTAGTGAAAATTAGAGATCAAAAAGACATTTAGGCTCAATTATTCAAAATGAAAGAGAAACTGTAAATGATGTTAAACATATTATCAAAGCAGGATGGTTTAAATGGAGGAGTGCATCTAATATAATGTGTGACCTACATACCAACATGTCCCACTAAGGTTGAAAGAATTTTTTTTATAAAACAACCATTGGATCAGTCGTTCTTTATAGGACAAAAGGCTAGACAACTAAGAAACAATATATGCACAAAGTGTAAAAGGAGTGTGAATGTTGAGTTGGACGTGTGACAAGAAAAGAAATGATAAAATTAGAAATTATACATTCGTGAGATGGTTGAAGTAGCCCAGTTGAGGATAAAATGAGAGAAATTGGGCATGTGTAAGGAAGACCACTAAGTGCGTGAGTTATGAAGAGTGGCATTTCCCTAACTGTTATCCCTTACATACGAAATAGATGAGTGAATAAGAAATAGATTGAGACTTATTGCTCTTAAATTTCTACATTAGCTGTTAGGAATCAGTTCCACCTTTAGAAGCCATTTTAAAAAACTCTCGATCTCGCTTCGTAGGCTCAGGATCGCAATCCTCCTAGAGTAGATTATAGTATATTTGAAAGAGAAAGAGTGACGAAGGAATAGATTGAGACTTATCAAAAGACACTTTCCAACTTGCACATTTCCCTACTGCTATCCCTTAACATAACCTATTTACCAAAATATTCACATACCCAGAATTCGTACAAGGTTCATAATTTACCAAGTATTCGTACAAGGTTCATAATTTACCAAGAATTTTAATTTCAATTATATGCTTATGTCTTGTACAGATAAACATAAGGCAGCTAAATTATAAGATTGGTGTCACAGATTCACCAGTAAAGTGGCCTTTCAATATGCAATTGAGCTTATTTGATAATTTTCCACATCAAAGTTGCATAATATGCATCCCATTTCATTTGCAACAGAACTTCAATTACAATGGAAACATCAGAGCTAACAAATTGTACAGAAAAACACAAAATGCAAGGGAAAAATGCACTGCTAAATTTCAAGGATCTAAAGAATTACCTCAAGTATATCAATTGACCTATATACCCCAATCTTCAAGAGCCGCTTTGTGATGTCTTCTTCAAACATCAGCTCGATAGTTTCACGAAACACATTCAAGTTATCCACCTCGGGAACCTCAATCCTACACAGCTTCGTGGCCGAACCACTTGACCCTTTCCTGTAATCCGCAATCAACTCCGCAAAAAGCGAACTATTTGAACTCAACACCTCCGAGTTCAGTTCCAGCACCAAACAACCCCCATTTTTTCCCTTCAAATTCAACCTCACATCGAAAATCCCCGAATTATCCCCCTCCTTCACACCACCATTCGAACCCGCCATACCCTCCGGCGCCGGCAACTTCTCCGAACACTCCGATCTCGAACGTGCACTCGAAATGGCGATCTGCGAAGGCTGTGAGACGATGATTTCTTGAATCGAGTCGGGGGTGGCATCCGAGTCGATAGGGGAGACCCGACCCGGGGACAAGATCCGGCGAGGGTCGATCCGACCCACCAAGCCGAGTCTGGTGCTCTGGGGAGAGTTGGGAAAGGAACTGGCGGATTTGGAGGGCGTTTCCGATTTGTGAAGGGTTTTGGGGTGAGAGAGGATGGGGTTTTCGGGACTACGCGGCGGAACGGTGAAAGAGCAACACCATGAACGGCGGCAACGAGGTTGTTCACGGCGAGGGTGGGATTTAAGGCGATTGGAATCGTCCATTTCGTATTCGATAGTGAGATGGTGAGATGAGTCAGATCACGAGTCGGAGAGAGAGAGAGGCTTTGGCATTTAGGGAAAGAGAAAATCTTGGAAATGGTGGGGGATTTGGATTTTTGTTGGGTACGTTGTCTTGCGAACAAGGTGAGAGATTCTAATCTTCCAGGCTATCATAACGTGGAAAAAGGCCATGTAACTCGACAACTGTGGGAGTGAACTGGAGCTATCTTCTATCTTTTTATTTTATTTTTTATTTTTTTCAAAAATTATTTCTTTTAAAATAATTATAAAAAAACAGACTGAAAATTAACCCACAAACTAGGGGTTGACATTTGATCGGCCAATTCTTTAGTTCGATTCGATCCGTGCGAACTAAATAGGATTGTTAAACTGACGGATCAATAATGGATTCAATAACATATAATTCATAGTTCACAGATCAGATTACCAATTAGACTATCAAAAACTACGCTGTAAAATTTATATATATATTCTAAAAATATATTAGTTACTGATCTTTTAAATTAAAATTAATTAATGATCATTTCATGGCCTCTAAAAATCTATTAGTCAATGATTATTTAAATATAACAATATTGGGATATTTGGAAAAACCTCAATCTGTAGATCCGATCTGTAATTCTACAAATCCGACCTGATCTGTTATTTTACGAATGGGTGGTGAATTTAAATTTTTCTCAATCTGTTTAGACCACGTCGATTTAAAATTAATGTCTATTCGGATCTATGCCCACCCCTACCACAAACCACATTGAACTCTGGATGGTTCGCAAACAGCCCACCCACTAGTTACTTGTATAGCTTAATTAATTATCACCATTTACAATGAATTTTCAAAATATAATTTAATTGTCCTTTGCTTGTTAAAAATACATTATTAGAATCTTCACAGAAGTAAAGCTCGAGCAGGCAGAATGGGTTGAATCCCACTACAATCCACTTACTAAGTATATCACTAAAGTCGGACTAGGATCACCTCCAATCAGTGGAAAATCAACTCCAGTCGCACAGTGCCCCATTTTCTCCATTTGGGATTGAGTGGTCTAAAGTTGGCCACGTCACTTAAAAAATTAGGTGAACAAAGTGTAGTATTAAATGGGTATAAAAGATTAAAGTATTATATAATAAATATGGTATGTATAATAATACGGTATATTGGTTAGAATTGTCCATTTAGCCCTTACATATTGTTTACAATTGTCCATTCACCTTTTACATCATTTTTAACCAAAAAAGGGAAGAAGAAGGTTTTAACAAAAGAAAAAAAAGAAGAAGGGAAGGTCTGAGGCTTTGAGGTTTTCGAGATTGGTCTGAAACGAAGAACAAGGGAAGACGAAGAAGCAGTGAACAAGGGAAGACGAAAAGGAAGGGAAGGTCTGTGTTGCTTCGTCTGAGGCTCTAGTGTGAGGGATTTTCGTGGTTGGTCGGCTTTGTTGGGTTCATCAAGTTTGTTGGTGGAAATCGAATTTAGGGTTTGAAATGGAATTTCTAAAAAGGTATTACCTCCAGTCCAACAGTGATCCATTTGCTCCATTTTGGGTCAATGAACAGTGTTTACCTTATTTAGTAAAAACAAAAAATTTCCTAATATAGAATTTTCGTGTATATATATATATATATGTATACATTGTTCAAGTACACAGCCTTTTTATTCCCTCCCTTATTTCTTCTTCCTCTTCCTTCCCTCATTTCAGCAATCCATTTGAAATAGAAATCAAATCCCGCCATTATAGCCTTTTTCTCTCCCAAAATATGAATGAAGCCATTTTAGAAATTTATTTCTTTCCAAATAGAAGCCGGAAGCAGCGATTGTTGTGTGAATTAACCTAAAATTTAGATGTTACAAATTGTTTCCAAATAGAAGCAGCGCTTCTGTCAGTCCCAATAAAATTGCAAATTCTGATTTCCTTCCAAAAAGAAGCAGCAAATTGAAGCAGAAGATCACCGGAGATCAAATCAAAGCAGGAGATTGCCTTATTTCCAACCCTAAGCAGGTACGATTCATAATTTTCAATTTGATTTTGAAGGAATCGTCTTATTTCCATAACAACTGAATTGCATAAACAAATATAATTAGTAAGAATATATAGACACATTTTTGGTAAGAAACTCAGAAATAGAAAATTAATGGTGAATTTGAATTGATGGAGTTTGAATGTTTGTTTGTGAGAAGAAAAAATAAGAGGATTTGTAGAGTACGTGAGTGGCCGAAAAAGAGTGTTTCAGAGTGTTAGAATGTTAAGAAAATGTTTGGTCCTTGGGCTTACGTCGCAACGTTTTCCTAAGTTGCATCCCAAGTTTCTTCTAATAAGCATCCCGAATTCTTCCTTATCTACATTCCAATATATTTGTAAAGTGAGTCACAATATTTTCCTAAGGTACGTCCTAACATTTTCGTAATATAAAACCCAAAGTATTTGTAAAGTGTATCACAATATTTTCCTAATATGCATCCCAAATTTGTCGTAATATACATCCCAACAACTTTTGAAAGGTGCATCCCAAACTTTTCCTAAGGTGAGTCCCAACTATTTCGTAAGGTGAATCTCAACTGTTTTGTAACTTAAATCCCAAATTTTGAGTAATATGAATCCTAACATTTTCATAAAGTGTATGTCAAATTAGCATTAGTTGGTTGGACATATATGTTCTGTTGTGGCATAGAGGATTTTTATCCTTGTTTGTCTGGGATATACTCGATTGATATATGCAAAGAAATGAGATATATGTCAAATTTAATTGGTCATACATGTGAAAAGGTTTTGTATTTGAGCCGTTGAGATGGGAATTTTACTTAGGATGTAGAAGTAAAAAAAAAAATTTGTTAATTCAATATTTTTTTTTGTTAAGTCAATATTTTGTGCATATGTGAGAAAAGGTTTTGTATTTGAGCCATTCAAATGGAAGGTGAAGTAAATAATATTCAAGACACAACAAACAGACGAAACGTTCCTAATGTAGAACCGGAAGTGATTAAATGGAAACCAAGGTATAATATGGAGTTTGATAGTAAGGAAGAGGCATATGATTTTTACAATGCATATGATGGTCGAAATGATTTTAGCATCTAGAAGGAGCATGGCAATAAAGTTAATAGAAGAATTACATCAAGGGCATTAGTTTATAGCAAGGAAGGTGTGAAGGGAACTGACAAATGGGATGTATTTAGAAAGACTCCCCAAGCTGAAACATGAACCAATTGCAGTGTACGAATGGTTCTTAGATATGACAAGACAAAGGCAAAGTACGTAGTTTCTAAATTTGTAGAAAGTCATAACCATCCATTCATAATTGTTGAATGCAGCCACATGATGCCGTCCTAGCGACGAATTTCCTCAGTCCAAGCTATTGATGTTGAGTTGGCTTCGGATTCAGGAGTTCTGGCTTGTAATGCATATGAGTTGATGGGAAGACAATCTGGTGGCAATGAATCAGTTGGGTACTTGAAAGTGGATCTTAAAAATTATCTAAGGACGCGAAGACAAAAAGAGCTTCTTTATGGAGAGGTGGTATGGCTTATGGATTATTTTGAGACACATGCTTGTGAAGATCCTTCGTTCTTCTATTACTTGCAACTGGATACTGAGCAAATAATTACGAACATATTCTGGTCAGATTCTAGAATGATCATTGATTATGGCCATTTTGGAGATGTTATCAGTTTCGACACAACGTACAAAGTAGTACACGGCAACAGACCATTTGCAATTTTCTTGGGTATGAATAATCACAGGGAGACCGCTGTGTTTGGAGCAGCCTTAATGTATGATGAGACAACGGATTCGTTTGTCTGGTTATTTGAAACGTTCTTGAAAGCGATGGAGGGAAAAGCGCTAAAGACGATTATTATGGATCAAGACGCTACAATGACGAAGGCATTAAAGTAGATGAATAACTTTCTTGCATCTCCATTCTTGTCACTTGGTAAGCTGAAACAATCGTATTATTTCAGTTGTATTTTTTGTATTTGCAATATTGCAACACGGGTATTGAGTTAATTAATCTTGCACGTCATGCCGGCGACGAAGCATCATTTATGTGTTTGGCACTTAATGAATAATGCGCAGAAGAACCTACTATTTTTGTTTAAACGCGTTGAAGGAATAAAGAAGGTCATCTCAAAATTAATGTTCCAAATTGTAATACCCCTAATTTTAAAAGGATAGTTTTGGCATTTTAATTAATTGTTGTATTGCATTTTTATTTGATTGTTTGATTATTTGCCTAATTGTTTTAATTATTTTTATTTAATTGCATTATTTGTTCTAATTTTTTAATGATTTAATTTAATTATGTGTTTTATTTAATGTATGCTTATATGGAAAATTTAATTTAATTATTTGTTTTCATTAATTGTTTAGTTAGGTTATGAGATTAATTTAATTATAAATTTTAATAATGTTAAATTAGGGTTTTTATTCTTTTATGCAATCACGTGTTGGCCGACTAGTATTTGGTTTAGTTTTCCGTCTCTGATTATAATTGGACTTAGGTTTTAATAGAGGCCTATAAATATACTGGTATAAGTCTGTCAAGGGTTTTAGAACCCTAATCACGTAACAGTGGAGGCGACGAGTTATACAGAGAGGTTTGAGAGGAAAACAGAGAGGGAGAATTGGGGTTTGGCTGAGACTAAGGCTGAATCAAAGAGAGAAGGAAGGAGTGTTGCTCATGGGTCGAACCAAAGGGGCAACAGAGGAGTTAGAGCAGTGAAGGTGTAATGACCCGATCATTTTTCTTCCTTACCTTTTTCCTCAAATTTTACAGATAAATTTTTTCCGTTGTCTTTTCTTTTCCGTATTTGGTTTATTGTCACCTTGTGTCATCTTGAGTGCTTAGAAAAGGTTTCTGAGACTCATTCCTTTGGATTGATAACTCCTATTGAGAACCGAGTCATTTCCACCTTTTCACTTTTTTGGCACTATTCACTTTTTGTCTTTTTCTCGGTTGTCACTTTGTTGGCATAATCTCACTTTTCGTGTTCGGATTTGATTCTAGTTTTTGGCATGCATCCACGATATTCAAATTCCATGCTATGCGTATTTTTACTTTTGTAGAAAAGCATGCTTGTTGTGTGCCTTCTTCCTTAGAGGTGTGGATGCACACTTCTTTGGAAATTTTCTTTCTTTTGGGGTCATTTGTGTAATTATTATAAGTAATTATTTTTCATCTTAGGGACCATTTTGCAATTTAATTTGGAAGATATTTTCAAAAAGGACCTTTTTACAATTTCTGAAAAAGTGTGACAAATGTCACACTCTCATTGGTCCACTTGTTGACATTTGTGTGGAAACACTTTGATGCCTTGGATGATGACATGTGGAGGGTGGAGATTCACCCACTTGTTGGCCTAGGATTGATGCACTTGTTGGTAAGTGTAGGCTTGAGGATGATTGACAAGTGTATGCTTGAGATTAAGCCTAGGAAGGAGCCTTGGATTTGTGACAAGTGTGGGCTTACAATTTAGTCTTGTAATTATTTTTGGGCCATTTTAGGATTATGGTTTTAAAGAGGGATTTTTGTGCAATTGACCATAGATGTGTGTGTTGACCATGGTGTAAGACAACCTAGTGAGTGGAGGATTTCTATTTCCTCCACTCACATTCTATCACACTTGATTTCATCATTTCCCTCTCTTGTAAAGAAAACCCTAGCCTTTATGGATGGAGCTTGAAACCTTAGGCCTTGACCTTGATTTTTGATGGCCTTTCACTCACCTTAGACCATGAAGCTTGGAACACTTTTTGTTCCCCTCATCCTCCTCTACATAACCTTAGAGGGTTTGCCATTTTGTGTTGATTTGCCTTGGATTCTAGAGAGGCTCTTCTCTAATGAGGTTGTGGGTGTTATAATTTACTTTCCAAGTGGTTTTACTTGTTTTTGTATGAAATACAAGTTGTATGCATATTTTATATCAATTTGAGAAATTAATGATGTATCATATTTTGCATATAACTCATTTTAGACTTGGTATATGGTATGACCATGACTTGATCTTTGATATATATTAATTTGGGATGATTTAAATGAGTTTTTAAATCTCGAGATAAAATGGATTTAATTTGATTTAAATTCTAGTAACTTGTATTTTGCTTGTATTCTATTTTAGACTTGATATATGGTATGACCATGATTTAGTACTTGATATATATTAATTTGGGATCATTTGAACAACTTTTGAAAATTAGAGATTTAATTAATTTAAATTAATTAAATTTTACATGATGATGCCTTGCTCATTTTGCTCTTTTGATTTGATATATGTAATGAGCATGCTATGTTGTTTAACATATAATAATTTGAGGTTATTTGAATTTGATTTGAAATCTAGAGAATTTAATTATTTTTGTATAATTAAATTCTATCTAATGGCTCTATGGATCTAATTGTGTTTTAGAAGTTGTTTCAATATTTAAATCATGGACTTGGACTTGTTGTATATTCACTTTGTTATGTTTTGAGTATAGGATAACATTGTTGTTATATTTATATTCATGAGAGTATGTTTTCTTTATGGGATATATTGTTGCCTTGTGTAATGAGTTGCACACCTTGCATTTGACATCTTTCATGCCATAGTAGTTGTGGACTTAGAGCATGTATTGTATGTGTTTTCAAATTTGGTTGTGCGTGGTAGATAGTTGATTATCTTGTATATACATGTTGCTATATACGTTGTTGCACAACTTGTTGATTTTGGAAACTTGGGGATGTTGTTGTTTGACTACAGCTAGGACATGGTTCTAGTATGGGGGAATGTCCTCCTATAGTCTAGTGCGCACATAGGGCGGTTACCCGTGGGCTAGTAACCCTAAAGTAACTATAGTGTCGCTCTGATCCGGCGTGATGTCCAAGTATCCACCTTGTTTGATTTCGCATTTCATTTCAAGTTGATAACTATATGATGTTATAATTTGTTGTTCCTTATTTGATTTCCCATTTTAAGTTACAAGATGTTAACTTGAGAATTTGTGCTTTATGCGTTGTATAGGAAGTTCCAATGTTGGTTAAATTGCATCAGTATTGTGATTCATGTTTTGTTGTTCTAATGTAGCCTATGACGATTCCTTAGACTCATTTGGAACATAGACGTTAGGTGGCATGACCCACTTTTGTCATTTTCGTATTTTAGATTTCAAGTTGACGGCTTTAAAAATCTATATCTTGTTGCTTTGTATATCATGTTCTTATGTTGATTGGAATTGCATGAAGGATGTGAGTTATGCTAGAAATGATCTAAGGTAGCTTAGGATGCTCCCTGAGTCTCACCTTCGATATAGACGTTAGGTGGCATGGCCCCTTTTGAATTGTTTCAAGTTGATGTAAAAATCTTCAAAGAAATCGAGTCTATGCATGCTCATTCTCTACGAGTAAAATTGTTTACTCACCCCGAAGTTACTGGGGGATTTTTTCAGGTACGAAGACTTGGTGCGTGATGTTCATCATTGCTTGGATGATTGTAGACTTGAAGGTTTTAATTTTTGTAAAGGTTGGCTTGAAATGCCATTTGTAACCGTTCATGTCAAAATGTGTATATTTGATTCTATATATGTAATGTGTACATAAGTACACCTTTTGTATTGTATTTGACATGTATAAGATGAGGCCAGAGGCCAATGACATGTATTTTCTATCTTATGTAAATTTTAACTTCATGAAATAATATGAGAATATTGAAAAAATGATAAGTTATTATTTCTCCATGGGTGTATCGGGTGTGGGAATTTCATTTTTATTCTTTCATAAGGTCTCATTAATCATGTATGAAGTGTGGCTAAGGGCCAAATGGTCATTTGAACCCATTTTATAATTTTGGTTTTCATATTTTCCATTTCAAGTTTATTTTCGCCTTTTTGGCCGTCGGGGGATCGAATTTTGACTCGGCCATTTTCGAGAGCCGCGGACCATCCCTGTGAGCTTAAAAACACTATTTATGTTTGCGTACATGATCGTTTTCATAAAAAACTCCTTCGTTGGTGAAATGAGCCTCCTATGGACTCATTTCACACTTTTTCTTGCATAATCTTGCTTAAGGGCATTTTGGAGATTTCATTTGTTAAATAAATTCCGATCTTGACTCCATCACATAGAAAATGTGATTTTAGGGGGATTTTCTTCACGACATTTTTCTGAAAAATGTCATCTTGACCTCGAAAACCATGTTTCAATATTATTTTTCTGCAATTTTACTGTTTCTGTTGCATTTCCTCCACTCTGTTCAAGTTGAACCGGTTCAAGATGGTTGAACTGATTCAAGATGTCAAAATTGGTCCAGCATGGGTGTACTACCTATGCTGAACCGGTTCAAGTCCTCCAGAGATTTCAGCTTTGGCCTTCTAACTTCAAACTGATGTAACTTCTTTGTTTTAACTTCGAATTGGTCCATTCTTGAGTCTAAATTGACTGTGTCGAAACAAGCTTTCCATTGGTACCAATTTTAGATTCATATTCTTCTCCTAGCTCAAGATATCCTTGTTTTAGTGAGAGGGTGTCAGATTTGGTTCGAACCGGGATAGGGTTCATTTGGGATTTCTTTTCCTTTCGCCTTGGGACTTCATGTGAAGTTACCAAAGGATGTTTTTGGATGTTTTTGATCTTATTTGACTTTTTGGAAGTTATATTCCTTCCTCTTAGGGTAAAACGACCATTTTACCCTTGGTCCTTCTTTCGGTAGGGTTTTGATACCGTTACCTTTGTTTTGCTTCCGTTGAGCCTCGAAATTCTTTCAAAGTCCATTCTTGTGTCCTAGGGATAATGTACATCTCCATGGACTTGCTTTCAAGTTGCTTTCGCACTTTATTCTTTTGGGTTCCGTGAACTCATATAAAGTCATCTTAGGGTCTTAGAGGTGTGTTGTGCCTTGGGAGACCATTGTCTTGTTTCTTGC